TGTGTTTCTCAGTAATTTTATGCAAGTTTTTGTTTGACGATTTATTTCATATTTCTTCATTTCGAAACATTTTCTGTTGATTATCACTGACTCCTTCACCTAAAGCCTGTCTAATGTTTGATCACTATAATATTAAATAATAAAATAAGCTATAAAAAAAAACAAAAAAGGGTAACAAATCTTCCAATACTGATTTGTAATACATATATTACCTCTAAAAATTAGTAGACACATAAGCAGAGAATATATTTGTCCCAAATGTTTATAACAGAATTTACACAGAAATGTGAAACACTAATTGAAAGATGGAAAGCTTATAGCACATGGCACCAGTGTATCTTAGGTTTCAGACCAAGATTAATCAGAATTTAACTTGCCACACTAATATAATGCTGCCATCTTGCACTTATGTGCCATTGACTCCCTGTTTTAGTTTATTGAACATCTGAGGCATGAAAAGATCATATGATTTAGACTGATGACATACTGTACTGTAGTTACTTCTATCTTAAAGCTGGAGAAATTGTACAGACTTAAGATTCTCTTTTCCTACTTAAATACATTTGAAATGAATCAGACAAAGAAAGAAAAAAGAAAATCCTTTAATTTCTAGGAATGTTATATACTGTAGATGATCCACAAAAATAAATTAAGCATCTTCCAACCTGTTGTTCATTTCTGCTAATTATATTTGAATTGCTAATATTTATGGCAAACAGACAAGAGAAATGGCAATAAAGGGAATAATCGCCTTATAAGATTAGATTTAGGAGCATTATCTCAATACATTGTTTTATAAATAGGTTGCAAACCTCTGGGGGTGTTAGATCTTCATATGTTTCCTAGGGCAGAAGGCAAGCGAGGGATAAGGCAATTCTTCTCTGAATGTTTTTGTTGGTGTCCTGGGTATGATGCTTCCTTTGAATAATTCATATATTATCATTTCATACCAGCTGGCTTCAGGAAAAGACACTATGATTATGTTGATACCTCTGTAGGCAGTGTGCTAACAGCTTTTTCAGTTTTTTTCTACACTACATATATATGTGGGGAACCATATACGTACATTGTGTAACATATAGTGTCTGTGAGTTTGTGAATATATTATAAATGTGTATTTATGTGTTATGTAATTACATATTTGTCTCCCAATACATATACACTCACCATTTGCTTATTCAAAACTTGATATGAATCATTTGATTTAAAGTCATTTTCAAATCATTAAATTTATGTTGATCAATTTAGTTAATCTAAGTATTAATATTTACATAGAATCTGAATCTTTAATTTAGTATGTTTGTCCAATGTTATTTGTTCACAAAGCTCTTCTTCACTGCTTACACCTCAAAATACTCTTTCTACTTTTTAGTATTGAGTTCTGCTGTTTAACAGAACATGTGATATGGCATATGCAAGGTAGTGGCATTTTCCTTTTTCACTGATAAGTGTCAAGTTGAATTTCTATAGTTTAAACATCATGTGTTGCAGTCATGCAGTTGCGGTAAGAATTGGTTAAAAAATTGTAACTCAGGGTTGATTAACTGTTCCACAGTTACTGGTTTCCTATTTATGTAATCATAAAATTGGAAACAAGCAAATATTAAAGTCAAAATCTCTTTCTAAAATTGAGCATACCAAGTTTTTGTCTGTGTGAGCATGCCTCAAGCATAGGCAATTGGTTTCCCTTCTTGCAGAAAGACAGCATCCAATCTATATTGTGAAGCATCACATGTTGGAGTGAATGGCTTGCTCACATCATAGTATTTTAAAACTGGAGAGCTGTTTTTTCAGTGCCTCAAAAGCAGCTTGGAATTGTTTTAGCCAGCAATATTCTGTATTGTGGTGTGTTGTCATAGTGATGCAGACATTTGACTAAAATTTGAAATACATTTACTGAGATAATTTGTCATTCCAAGAAATCTCTGGAGTGCGGATTTGTCTTCTGGTGGGGGGGTATGCCTCCAATTGCTAAAATGTTTGCAGGATCAGGTCTTAATCCTTCATTTGTGAAAGATGTTCCATGTATCTGACTTTTTTCAATCTGAATCTGCACTTGAGTTGATTTAATTTCATATTATCATATTATTCATATTATGTAGGATACTAGACTTTCTTTAAATTTGCATTGTGTTCTAATTATTGAGCATGGATATTCTACAACGATTTGCTCCATTACATGTTGAAATACTTCTGATGCAGAATTTCTTCCAAATGGCATCCATATATTGTCTCTTCCAAAAAGAGTGTTTTAAGTAGTAAGTGCTAAATATTTTTTTTCTAGTGAATTTTACCAGAATTAAATAATTGCATCCATCATAGAGAAAATTCTATGCAGGCATATGTGCTGCAACTTCTTCAACTATGTGTATGGGAAGGTGTGGTCTCTTTGGTGCTTTATTAAGATCTTGAGGAGTTTTACATATTCTTATCTCATTTTTTCCCCATTAAGTGATTCCACCATTGACGAAACCCATTCTGTGGACTCTGAGATGGGTGTGATGTTTCAGAATGAATTCTAAGACAGTTGAGACAGTCCTCAAGACCAGTCAGTGGTTGAGCTTTTTGTTCAATTATATAGAACTGCTTTTTATAATCTTTTTTTGCACCATTGCACGTCAGTCCCATTGAACCTTTTGTATCCAGTACATTTCCTCCACGTGCAATTAATTTGGTAATGTTTGTTGAGTTTTTCATTTTCTCTGCTCTTTTGAAGGTTGTCTCCTACAGTATATAACATTGCACCAGTATCTACTTTTAATTCCACAGTATTACTATTGATGTAAACCATGCAGCAGTTTTAGTCTTATTTCTCATAGAGTTATTTAATAGCTTTACTCAATGTACACGTTACTTACAAGCCTGGATATAAACTCTACTTTAATGTGGTGCGCCATCTTTAAATATATTTTAGAAGAGATCCAAATACTGTAAATACCTTTATGGCTTAAGATGATCAGGATCACACTTTGAGAAGTAGGTTAATGAGACATAGAAAATCTTTTTGTATATTTTAAATTATGAAACATAAATGTTGTTTATATGTAAAATGCATCTCAGGTTAAGTAAATTTAAAGTAAGGGCTTTCATTTTGTTTTAATTTAACATCCAGACAGGCTATTTACTATTTATTCCCGATGCATATTAGATGTTATTATTAGTTTAGAAGAAGACAATAACCTATTATATTAAATGAAGTTTCAAATCTATATACAGTGGCTATCAAATACTTCATATACCACTGAATATTCTTTACTGCATTATCAAACTGCATAATTTAATTTCAAATCAGAATATTTTCAGTTTAAACAGTTAAATGAATTGCTCAATTTCTGGTTTCAAACATCAGAATCTGTGCTTCATTACATAGTAGTCATACTTTCAGGGCCACCTTTTAAACAGGTGAATGAAAAAAGGATGAACAATTAACATCATAACAGGAAGAAGCAGGGGCAGATGGGAAATAAACAGTAACATCCACTGTAGTAGTTGGAGCACACAAATGTGTGGCAGGTGGGGGGATGTGGACACAGAAGAGGCTGCAGCACAGCAGCAAGGGCTAAGGAAAGATACAGAACAGTAGGGAGGAACAAACACAGCAAGTAAAGGAGATGGAGTACAGATCATTGTAGGCTGAGAAGAAAAAACACTAAAGATGTGGACAATAACTCAGTGTGGAGGAAAGATAGCTAACAAAAGAGGATCAAGGGCAGGCACAAATAGTAGATGGATTTGCTGATGCTGTTGTGTTGTAAAGAACAGGGTTAAAGGGACTAACAAGCTATTATTTTTTTCCTGGTTCTTAAAAACCCCTCAAAACATAATATAAAAACAGTATAATTAATAAATAAACCTCACACTTACTGTACATAACATCTTTATGTATATTCCATTCATAGTGTTTTATAGGTAATGGGGGCTCCCCTCCTACACCAAAATGTGTAGCACCACCTAGATGATGCGATGGCAGCCAGTATGCTCACAAAAAATCAGTTCTCAGTCAAGCTGATAACAGAGTAACGAAGTTCAAAGATGGGGATTATTAGGAGGCCATGATTGGAGAGCCAAGGAGGAAATTTGGCCAGGACACCGGGGTAAAACTCGTATTCTTTTCAAGACATGCCCTTGGATTTTTAATGACCATGGAGAGTCAGGATCTCGGATGTATGCCTCATCAGAAGGACTGTGCCTTTTTTACAGTATAGTTTCCCTATCACTATACTGGTGATTTACTGTATACACAGACTGTAGAATGAGCACTCCCTACTGGTCCCACTAACACCATTTAATGTCTGACATGATATTGACATGATATTGATCACTGTCATGTGAGGGTATTTTCCTGAAAAAGCATTTCATTTACATGACTCTTTTTTGAGAGAGTTCTATTGATATGAAATGTATTTATTGTTCTATTTTCACTGAATTGCTCCTGTGTTCTTGACCAGGCTTCTCTTCAAAATAAGATATTGGTTTCAATTAGATTTCTTGGTTTAATAAAAAAATAACAACATGTTATCATTCATTTTTATATCAGCCACTACAAATACTGGGAAAAACTAATGCTAAGTATATTATTGACATCTCCCTTTGTACCTTTCTTTAAAATGTGTACCTTATAATTTGTTTGGAATTTTTACTTTAGAAGCAGTTCATGAACTATGTAATTCAATACAATACAGGAGTAAACTGTATAGTGCCTTAGATTACAATTATGCCTGGGTGGTATTGATATGTAGAACACTTTTTAACTTGAGTTAGGTTTTCAAGGTTATTAGTTGGAAACATTCTTAATCAAAAGAAAACCAGTGGCAGTTTTTATAATTATCATGCTCTTCCAGCAGTTCTTGAAATTATGCTGCACTGTAATACAACTTAAAATCTGGCAATGTTGGGCATCCAAGTGCTTTTGGCTGTTGCAAAATGCTTGCAAAAGGGATTATTGCTTCTTGAATGATTATCAAAATAATGTTGGGCACAGATAGGTGAAGGTTACTCACAAACAGTACTGAATCATTTGAGTAGATGGGTATTTTGTGCTGTCCATCACATTCATTCCATTGTAGGACAATGGAATTGTTGTGGGGCACAGTCTGCTTGTGCTTATGGCTCAACTGTGAAAACAAAATGCAGTGGAGAGAGTAGGCAACCCTATTATATTCCCCTGCACATTTAGAAAAGTGAATAGGAGAAGCCATTACACACGTTACTGGCCTTTAATTAAATATTAATCTTAAGATTTTGGTTAATAACTTGGTAAAAAAGGGGTTATGCATTGATCTGGCACAGATGTTTTTTCAACTTAAAATAAACAGAGTTTTATTAGTAATGCAGGAGGCATATGAGCTTCCAGCAGGTTCACTGATGAAAATCTTAAAGAATTGCAATGGTAATCCAAACTCTTTGACAGTTAACTTTTCTGTTGTTGTTATTTCTATTTTGTTGGTAAAATTAAATTCCCATTTTTATTGTGAAAGCATAATTATGAATAATTATTCATTTTTCTGTTCTCAAAACTTGAGAATGTAATGGTCAGAGAAATACTAGGGGAAGTGGGAAATGAGACAAACACAAATAACTTCTTAACCAAAGTACAGAAACCATAGATTTGTAGACCTAACTTCTGAATCACCATGAATACCTCATTAAACAGACAGCTATGACTGAAAATTGGAGTACTGGAAAGTGATGTTACATTTTACATGAAAGACATTTTAAAATACATTAATATGCATGGAGTATATTCTTTGAAAATTAAAGGGGGTAATCTGATGTTGATGTTAAAACAGCTAAAGAAAATGTCAACGCATTTGAAAATATTACCGTTCAACCACTGGTTATTTTAAAGCATTTAAAAAATGTTGATGCCAAATTCTTATGTAAATCACATCTTGAAAAATATGAAAATGTGGCAAATTTAACTTCTGTAGAGCAGTGTCAACTGCTCTCAATGTTCCAGGTTCAGACTAAGCCAAATAAGTTTTTTTCCATAGTTATCCATGACAAATGTACTACTGTTGACACACTAAGAGGCACAACATGACAATAAGGATGAAACTGTCAGGACTTACCCTTGCTTCATGAGGACTGCTAGGGAGTTTCAATAAGGATGAAGATCTGTTGGAGGGTGCGGTACAAGAAAAAATGCACAAAACATGTTCATGAGGCAAGATATGTATGTTTAGGAGAATAAAAATGGGTACAAATAGAATGTCACCTCCTTTTTTAACCTGTTAAAAAACTCCATTTAAATGAAGAAAGCCCCTAATGTAGTCCACATTGACATCAAATCATTAAGATTATGTGTCAAACAAACTGACATGCTCTTCGGTGAACGTGCCGTATTAAAAACAACTTAGCCAAGCACATAAATTAGGATAAATACAGTATATAAAACGTCTGCAGGAGGTGCTGTAAACTGTACAATCCAAGTTAACAAATACACTGCAATATTTGTGTATGCTCTGTCTGCTTATGTTACTATAGCAATGTAGTGTATTTGTCATAGAACTCTCAGGTTTTATTTTTTGTAAAGGAACAAGTAATAGGTTTATTCCATGCTAAAAAAAAGAAGAAAGAGAACACAACATTTCGGCCGTGGAGCCTTCTTCAGGTGTGAGCTTATTTATTTTTTTTCATTTGCACTGGGTTTTTACATGTTTTTTTGTGTAGCATTGTATTTTCACTTGAAAGAAAATCAGTACCTTAGTCAAATAACATTTTAGGGGATTTGTTTCAAAATGTTTTTCCTGCTTTGTTCATAAAATGGAAATGGACACACTTTTCTCTCCTTTTTAAAGATAGAATATGACATTCTTTAAATCACTATTTTTGGTGCAGTGAAAAAACAATACACTGTAGTTCATAACATTATTAATAATGCAGGCTTGTTTGGCTAGCATATTGGCATCAGCAAATGACAATGGTTTTCTTTGAAAAGTGTCCTTTTAAAATGAAGACTATTTTATATTCACATATTATTTGAAAACAAATTATGAAACCATTATCACTGTAAGATATATCATGGCCAACACTTTCTTTGGGTAACATTTTTATTACATATTGTTCTGAAGAAAACAATGAATTAAAATGTGAAAGATAAAGATATTGGAATGCAGAAAAAATAATATATATATATTATACCATGAAAGGTAAGTCACCTTAACCTTAAGACATTGATTTAAAGTCAACAGAATATATTTTGAAAAAAAGCATTCTTTATCACTTTGATGTCCTTGTACCAGTGCTCGATGTTTTTATTCAAGAGACTTGAGAAGTAAAATTATTATTTTATCAATAGCGGTTTTGGTTTTTTCTTTCATTTTGATGTGACAATTTCAGTGAAAGGTAAGACGTATTTTATAAAGGCAACAGTTGAATGCAAAGATCAGCCTTACCACAATATGCCTAAACATATATAAACTTTGTCTCAGATATTTACTTTATTAATATGAGTTTGTTACTTTATTGTAAGAATTTGAATGTATATCTATCGGTTCTTTATAGATATTTATGATAGAAGGAGTTACAGTTACCCAGTTACCCTTATTACAGTTATTACAGTTACCCTTCAGTGTAAAAATAATTTCGTTCTAAGCCTTTCTTCTTTGCATCAGGCTTTTATAAGTTAACATTGCCTTATTGCATAAAAAAATAAAATGCATTGCTTAGGATGCACTTTCCTGATGATTTTGTAGAACTGAATAAGCTTTGATCTAAAATATTTTTTAGCAATTTCTCAATTAAGTAAAACATGAGAACATAAGAAAAGTCAAATAGCCAAGTCATGTTGGTAGTCTATCTAATTCATTTGATCGTTAATAAAATAATTAAACCTTGAATATTAGGCAGTCATTTGATTTCAAGTATCAATATATTCTATCTGTGCCTGAATGGTATGCAGAGTTACCAACTTGTAGCTTAAACTCTCAAAACTAAGAAAGACTGTCCCTAGACTGTAATGGGATGTTAGACCTCCAAAACCTACTACTTGATTAATGTAATCGTTAAAGATCTCCATGACACTTTATAAAGAGTAGAATACTAGAAAGTAAGAGTAAACAGTAAAGTGAATAGTGACTGTTGAGCATCAATCAGTACTATACATCAGTAATGGAAGATTCTATTTGGTGGATGGTGATTTCTTTGAATGCAAAGCTCTACGTACTGTAATGTAATGTATTGATTTGACAAAGACCATAAAGAATTCCCGTAAGACAATAGTGTTAAACAGCACATATTAATAACATTTCTATGAAAAGGCAGTTCTTTTAGAAATCAAATAGGAGTCATTTTGTTTCTTGTGTAATTGTACTTTTCTGCAAGGAAGTCAGTGATTAAATTGGCTCAGATCAAATACAATATACTTGAAATTAGCAATGTGTATAATCTGCATTTTACTGTTTCATTTATTTCTTGGTGCAAATCCTATTGATATATGTCCTCTGTAGTTTTCCTATTTTGTTTATTTCTAATCAGATTACTCCGATAAAAGTATCCTTTCAGACCAATTGTAGTTTCCTGAAACTAAGAAAACTAATATATGCATTAAACTCCAAAAGTCCTTTTTTAGGAAGACTGTCAGCAGATATTAAACACTAATGTCCTTCCTCATTTTAGGTCTTAATAAGTGTATTCAGAATAAAATGTATTTTTTCAGCAGTGTTTCATACACTATCTGGTGATTCATTTGAAAAATCTTTGCAGAAACTGGTTTTAATGAACTTGTTAGTTATGATGGCATACACTAAAGGAAATAACAGCAGAAATTGAAGTAGAGCACAAATGTTAGAAAACACAAATGAGAAATGGAAACGTGCATCAAATATATACTACCCTGTAGAAGACCTTACATCTGGCCCTGTTTCCTCAGCACAACAGAATCCTAAAATGTGTAAATCTGTTGGATAAAAAATATTAACACACTTTCGTTAAATTATGGATTGATAATTGTTGCATATCCTTAACATTGAGTGTTATTTTGTAAAGAAATCCAACAGTGTTAGGGTTTTATAACTTTATTTTTAAATTAACCCTTTTTCTCTCATTGCTAATAACTGACTTAAACAGAATGTTGTACATCAGCAGGGACTCAAGACATCTGTTTAACATAAGAATGGTTAAAAACAAGAGCATTAAATCACTAAAATAAAAGTTTAAGCTTTTATATATTTCCTCTAACATTTGTTATTGCCTTGGCATTGTCACCAAATGATAAACATTAGCAACTAAGTCTTTTCATGAGTATCTTCTTGTGAATGACAGCAATACCAATAAAGAAAATTGAAGTTAAATAGTGTTATGAAAGATGAGCAATCCGCTTGAAGATTGGTGCAATAAAGTCAGAAAAAAACTGGCCTGAAGTACTGTTATTTTGAAACTCAGGACAGAAACAAAGAAAGAAGATAAATAGAATATTTTGTAGAGAATACAACATCCATGAATATGACACAAAGCACAGATAGTACACTTGACTGCAAACACAATTCAAGCAATATATCAGAAAAGTGTGAAAGTCATAGAATTAAATCTACAGTACCTAAGGTTGTCAAAACTAAAGTCATAGTATTTTTCAGTAGTACAATAGTACAATTAAAGAAGAAGTAGGTTTATCAGAGGTAGAAATAGTTTTTTTTTTTATAGAAGAATGGAAGACTACTTCCAAAATTATTAACACATATATCAACACATATGCACAAAAGTGGAAATTAGTAATATGTCATAGTGATTTCAGCTTATCAGAGGATATGGGTTTAAAGCAAATAGGAGACTTTAAGACACATAAATCTTCTGAACCAGATGCTATTTGCTCACTTATTATTCATAGAACACCCACTAGAATATTTCAAATGGCTCTTTGGGAAGAGGATATGCCTATTGATTGGAAAATTGCAAATGAAATACCCAATAGTAAAAAGGAGACTAAAGAGCTAAAGAATGCCTGATTTTCTAAATGTAAATTGCATTCAAGGTCTTAGTTGTCCTGAATTTACAAGACATAAATCATGATTGTAACTAACTTGCCTTCTTTCTTTAAACATGTACCTACTGCAGTAAATTTAGAGCATACAGAATAATATATTTGGACATTCAGAAAATGAGGTGTTTCATTTGTTACTTTGATTTTTTATTGGTGATAACACCAGACCACATAATTAAAATTGTAGAAATACAAAGTAATGTGTGAACATAGATAAACAGTTCCAACAATGTTGGAAAGCATAAAACATAGAGGACTGGTAAGGGGACTTACCCAGACTGGAGTGAAGTCAATATGTCATTTTTCAGTGCTAAGATTAATGGTATTTCTAATCTATATCTATGATGTAGACAGTGCTATAATAATCGATCTTGTCAAAGATTGTGGATTTGTGGATTTTTAAATTGTTTAAAATCAGCACAAAGCACAACACTTTGACAAAATTCAAAATTGGGCAGATAGTTGGCAAGGGCAAGGCTATGTGGATAAGTACAAGGTATTTAATTCTGGTAAAAATGTACATTTTAAAATTTAGAATATCAAATGGGTGGTACCGAACTACAAAAAAATCAATATATACCACATCTTCTGCTCCTTAATTAATTTAGGTTTGCCACAGCAAAAGGTTTGAATATTTGTACAATCATGACTTTTTCCATTTTTGTTAATGATCTATTTATGTGTTACATTTTAATTAAACGAATAGTTCATACTTCAAAGTCTTAACTGCTTTAAACAAACAAAATGTGAAAACTGTGTAAAGGTCTAAATACGTTTGCAATTAGCAAATGCCATGGAATATATTAGGGTATATCAAGATTAGTTAGAAACTAAATTGTTCTGAGATGTTTTGAAATAATACGATTTGAAAAAGATATCACAACTTTTTTGATGCATTATAACCATTTTAAACATTATTTACATAAATATAAGATACACTAAACCCTCATTTAAACAGACTTCAGATTTACAGGCCAAAATCTGCCAAAACAGGTCTGAGAGGAGTCCAGGCAGCTGTGTGTGTTCTGGGCATCGGCCAGTAGCGCTGTGCGCCAGACTGATGCTCGCACATCAATCCTTGCCTTTAGGGGCATCACTTTTACTGCAATTTCTTTCACAGGATTAATAAAGTATCTATCTATGTAAAGAAGATTTTTTTTCTGTAAAATCAGCAATGAATGTTATTTGTTATCTGTTTTGTATGTCTTAGTTTTTTTTAAAAAAAACAATAATTAAAAAAATACAGTAAAATGCTAACACTATATAAAAAAGCAAAAATAATAAAACAAGTTAAAAATAAGTACTACACGGATTTAAATTTCAGGAATATCAATAGTGGGCATCATGCTCGCACAGTGGTTAGCACTGCTCCCTGAATGGACTAGGGGTGCTATTTGCTTGGTGTTCGTATGTTCTCCCGTGTTTCTGTGGGATTCCTCCGGGTGCATAGTTTGCTCCCACAGTCCAAAAGCATACCGGTAGGTTAACTGGCTTCTTGGAAAATTGACCCTCTGTGTGAGTGTGTGTTTGTTTGTCTGTCCTGCAATGGACTGATGTCACATCCAGAGTATACTCTGCCTTGCACCTGTTGCTTGCCAAGCTAGGTTCTAGCCTGGCTTCCCTGCAACACTTAA